ATTTATTTTAAAAACAGAAGTAGGGTGTATACTAATCAGATAATCGATTATGTTCGTTTTACAAACGATACAGAGAAACTATAATTATTGAATATAAATGTGATTACATATAAAGTGACACAAAAATTAAAAAACGTGGTCTTCATTTTTTCGTTACAAAATTCACTTAATATACATATTCCCAAATAATTTAATACCACTAGCTTACTGGCTAATGTAGTTTGAATTTCGTATTGCTTCGTATGAAAATCTAGATACTCGTCCTTTCCAACAGGTAAGTTCAAACCCAACCGAAGAAAAATGTATTGTTCTAATCATGCTAATTATAAAAATGACCAAACGAATAACACTATAGGTAATTAAGGTCACAGATTTGTTTTAGAATATCTTAAGATCAAATATAAAGCTCATCAAATAACTGTACATATAAATAATATCAACTAGACACATTTTTAGACAAAAAAGACACTTTGAATATCCTGAAAAATCTCTATTACCGTTAACAGCTACAATCCACTCTCCAGAAATGTCATAGTATGTTCCTTTAGATTCTGAAGGAGAAAGAGTTTGTCTGGTCCCATTCTTGTCACCACCCTCCAGCATCCTGAAGGGGCGTGATCTAGATTTTCTGCTAACAGGAAGCTTGGATACCAAGGGCATATTATCCAAATTAGAATCTAGGAAATGACTGACTTTCTACCTAGAAGTTTAAGTGATCTCTTACCACTATAAATAGAGACTTGTCAGTGAAGCTTTTCACTCCGTTCACACACATTTAAACCCTGGGCAAACTGGGGGCCAAAAAGAATACACTTAGGTAACATCTCATTTTCCTTACCACATATCTGTTCTACTTATAACTGCCATCTGGCAATTCCCCAGTGAACAGCTGCAAGCAGAAGCACGATCATCAACTCTTTACTTATGGATTGGCGTATTCCTCTAGAAATAATGTTTAGGTACATACGTCATCAGGGAAGGTTGCTTACTCAGTAACCAGTACTACCACTACTATGTTTCGCAAGATACCCATCATCATTACCATTATTAGCAGCTTGTTCCATCAAACCTTAATTCCCATCATCCTCGACAATTTATTGCTTTGCCATATACATATATTCACCTGCTTTGTTGACGAACGGAGCTGCTCCCTTCATTGGACATTTGTCCTATAGATTCTAAATTACTCCAACCAGTCAAATGTCTCTTCACTTGATGGCAGTCGTCTTATTATTCTTGCTAACACTAAAAGCACTTAATCATTTTACTTACTCTTGATACACATCGCAGAAGACCAGGGGCCGCTCATCACCATTCTCCATTCAAATCTCTCATATGCGATCCTTTCCAGTTGTTATTTATCCTATGGATGTCTGCTTCCGATTCCTGGTGCATCGTGGTCTTCGGTCTTCAGTTTTTCCGTTCCACTTCAGGACCACAAGGTAGCGCCTGCCCCATGATGCAGTTTGATATATGCTACTTATGCCAACAGATATAAGTAGTATGTAACACCAATCGGAAGTGGAAACCCTGGCAACAGAAGGCTAGGAAGAACGGATTGAGGAATTTAGAAGCGGAAATATGAAGGAATTTTGAAACGGAAGAGTCATTTAGAATGTGAAGGACAAATTATTTAAATTTGCAAGCAACGTATTCAATATATGGTTCTCATATTTTACCAAGATTTTGTGTGATGTATTAAATGGTATTCGATTGTCTATACCTGTGTCCTCATTTGTTGCGATTCCCGCAATTTATGTCTTATCCGCCTCTAGCTTCTTTTCCTGGTTTCTTTTTCAGCTGAGAGGTGGTTTATTCTCTCCCACAGTAGGCTGTTTCTGATGGTATCCGGTAAAAAGGCATTGAGTATCTTGCGTAAACAATTGTTTATAAAGAATTGTACATTTTTGGTGATGTTTATAGTAGTTCTACAAGTTTCAACTCTGTACAGTAGAACTATCCTGATGTTCTTATTGAAGATTCTGAATTTGATGTTGGCTGATAGTTGTTTTGAGTCCCATATGTCCTTCAGCCGTAGGAATGAAGTCCTTGCTTTGACAATCCTCGCCTTCATACCTGTATCAGATTCTTCTTGTTCATCGGTGATACTGTCCATGTACGTGAAAGTTTCCACCTCTTCCAGAGCTTCTCCATCAAGTGTGACTGGACCTGTGTTCTCCGTGTTATGTTTGACGATCTTGGATTCTCCCTTGTGTATGTTATGGCATGCTGATGCAGAGGCTACTGCCATACTGGCTGTCTTGACCTGCATTTGTTTGTGTGTATGAGGTAGGAGGGCTATGTGATATAGGAACTCCAAATCGTCCGGTTATGTGCAAGCTGTTCATTGCATTCCGTGCCTTCCCCCAGATGTGGAGGTCTTCATAATCCAGTCAACCACCAGAAGAAACAGAAGGGGTGAGAGTAGACAGCCTTGTCTGACTCCGGTCCTCATTTGGAATGTAACTGTCAGCTGTCCTCCGTGTACGACATTGCAGTGTAGTTCGTCGTATGAATTTCGGATGATGTTGGCGATTTTTGCCGACACGCTATAGTGACGAAGAATGTTCCGTAAGGTCCTCCTATCCACACTGTCAAATGCTATCTCATATCCATGGATATTGTTATATGGTAACGAATTCCACTCAACTGATTGTCCAACGGTGAGTCGTGATGTCGCGATTCGGTTTGTGCACGACCAGTCCTGTTGGCCTTGAAATCGGGCGTCTACTGAGTCTTTCATCCGGTTCAGCAACACTCTGTTGAAAACCTTTCTTGGTACTGACAGTAGTGTGATGCCTCTTTAGTTCTCGCATATGCTCAAATCTCCTTTCTTTGGAATCTTGGTGAGGTATCCTTTTTTCCAGTCCATCGTCACTCGTTACTCCTCCCAAATCTTCCTGAATAGAACGTGAAGCATGTCTGCAACTGCTTCTATGTCTGACTTTGTTGCTTCCGTTGGTATATTGTCGGGCCCTGCTATTTCCCAACTCTTGATTTGTCTGATGGTCATCTTGATTTCTTCGGTCGTTGGTGGGGTGACACCAGTAAGAAGGTCTGTGGATGCTGCTTCGATATCTGGTGGATTCGATGGAGCTAGTCTATTCAAGAGTTCCTCAAGGTGTTCCACCCATCTGTTCCTCTGTCCTTGAATTTCAGCGATTTGCTTGTCTTCTTTGTCTTTGACCTGTCTCTCTGGTTTACTATATTTCCCTGTCGTATCATATAGCTGTCTCATAATTCTCTTGTAGCTCCTCCCGCTGTCGTTGCTGATGCTCTTCTTCACTTCCTTGTTCGCTTCTGTGTTTTCAGCTTGTGCCTTGGCTTTCTCTGTTCTTTTTCAGCCCTTGTTAATTGCCGTCTTCTCGTTTTTCCTTTCTTTGATTTTGTGCAGGGTTCCGATAGAGATCCATTCCCTATTGATGATGCTTCTTGTGACCAAGCACCTCCTGACATGTTGAAGTTAGTGCTTCTCTGATCACTTTCCAGTTGTTCTCCATATTACTTTCTTCTTTTTTCAGTAAATCGTGTAGGGCTTGAAACCTGTCGTTGAGAGTCATCTTGAATTCTTGAATATATGTCAGCTCCCCTCCTGGTTCTCATGTCTTCCACTGACCTTGTGAATATTCTACTGATGCAAATACGATCAGTCTGGTTCTTTGCGATGTAATCCCGTGATATTCATGTGGCTTTGTGCACGAGTTTGTGGGGGAATATTGTTCCTATGACCATTTCATTGAATATACATACATTTGCAAATCTGTCACCATTCTCGTTCCTTTCTCCCAGTCACTCTGTGTCGTCCCATGATACCCTCATATCCGGTGTTGTCCATTCCGACTTTAGCGCTTAGATCTCCCATCAGGATGGTAAAGTCTTTTCTTGAGCACTTCGCTATGATCGACTACAGCCTCTTGTAAAACTGATCCCTATTACCGTCATTGCTATGATTGGTGGGTGCTTAACATTGGATAGCATTCGTTGGGATTCCCTCCTCCTTCGTTCTGAAAGATGCTATGATGATTCTGGACCCGTCAGATTCCCATCCAAATAAGTGATTCTCGTGTTTGTTCGATCAGTATCAGAGCAACTCACTGAGTGTGTGGAGCATTTAATTCTTCATGACCAGAGTACAGAAACACTTCCCCAGAATCTAACCTTTTCTGTCCAGCTTGGGTCTAATGGGTTCCATTGATTCTGAGAACCGACAAGTTGTATCTCCTCATTCCCATAGCTAATTGATTGGTCATCCTGGTCTCCCGCATTGTCCGGACATCCCATATACTTATATTAATTGTTGCTCTGATTGTAAGAAGGAGCATCAATCTCGTGACTTCCAAAGAATCTTGGCTTGCACCATGAAGCGTCATAATTCTTCCTTCATTCCTCAGGGAAGGGTTTAAATGATTTAACTTGTTTACTCTGGTTAATTTTTTTATCAAGGTTTTTTCTGGGGATGGGGTTGCTGATCTAACGCCTAACCCTCCTCCTTTACCCGAATTCGGGGCAGACAGTAACCCTAGAAGAGCTAAGGGCGGTGTTCATCAAGTTCTACTTGCCATAAGTTGCGCTATTCAGGAAATTTTCAAGAAGCAAATCAATTTGAATACTTCTAGCTATTATAAGTAATCAAGACTTATACTATCCTCGCCAACATTTTGTATTTTAATCTTCTGATGTGATCACAAACTGAGTTGATGAAAAATTTATGGAAATGTGCGGAATTGAGAAAACACACTGACTTATAATTTTGGCATTTCGGCATGAACTTTTGAGTCTATACTGGCTAATGGAATCGAGTGTTTAAACTATTCATATGTATCTGGAACTAAGAAGAAGGTGTAATGGCAACGAGGACAGATGATATTGTGAAGTGTACGCTGTTATAAAACTGAAATCCAGAAACAACTTAAACCCACTGGACTCCGTAGAAGCCCTAGGAGTATCCCCTGATGCCAAGACTCGTTTACTACTGTTAGTCACAGGAATATTGATAATTGGATAACTTGACATTCTAGCGGGTCATCTGACCTATAACTAAACGCAATGGCTGCTCTTGTAAGTATTGTATGGTTAAAGTTTATTTAGTTTAAATGCTCTTTTGACAAGCATAATATTATTAAAATTGATTTTAGGAAGTTGAGTCGTACCCACGTCGGTCACCAAAATATTTGTCTGGAGAACCCTCTAGGAAAGTTAAGCGTGAAGCGGAGAAAGGGACCTTGGAATCTACTCCTCCTCCCACTGATGGGATAAAGAATTATTATATGAACAAGATCGATGAACATCAATTTATTTACACTGAAAAGGTCCTTAATTTAAGGCGACTGGAGGCTCAACGGAACGAGTTAAACGCTAAAGGTAGCGATGTGTATTTTCCACTTATATTCCTTAGTTCGAATGCTTCGAGAAGAGCTTCAGCTGTTACAGGAACAAGGTTCATTTGTTGGAGAAGTCATAAAAGCTATGGACAAAAAGAAAGTGCTGGTCAAAGTACAACCGGAAGGAAAATATGTTGTGGACATCGACAAAAACATTGAAATGTCTCAGATATCCCCGAACTGCCGTGTGGCTCTCCGAAGTGATAGTTACACGTTGCATAAAATTTTGCCAAGCAAAGTTGATCCCCTTGTGTCATTAATGATGGTAGAAAAGGTTCCGGACTCTACTTACGAGATGATTGGAGGCCTCGATAAACAGATCAAAGAAATTAAAGAAGTCATTGAACTTCCCGTAAAACACCCAGAGCTTTTTGATGCTCTAGGAATAGCGCAACCTAAAGGCGTGTTGTTATATGGACCCCCAGGTACAGGGAAAACCCTGTTAGCTCGTGCCGTTGCCCACCATACTGAATGTACATTTATTCGTGTCAGGTATTATCAGTTGATCTATACTGTATATCCTTCAGTGGTTCTGAACTTGTCCAAAAATTCATCGGCGAAGGAGCTAGAATGGTTCGTGAATTATTTGTTATGGCGCGAGAACATGCACCATCTATAATTTTCATGGATGAAGTTGATTCAATTGGATCCACCAGATTAGAAAGTGGCACAGGGGGAGATAGTGAAGTTCAAAGAACTATGTTAGAGCTGCTCAATCAATTGGACGGGTTTGAACCCAAACAAAATATAAAAGTAAGGTTAACACACTATTATTACTCTATAGGTTATCATGGCAACAAATCGTATTGACATACTTGACTCAGCTCTTCTAAGACCTGGCCGAATTGATCGGAAAATCGAATTTCCTGCTCCGAATGAGGAAGCCCGGTTAGATATCCTGAAAATACATTCTCGAAAGATGAACTTAACGAGAGATATCGACCTGCGTAAGCTAGCAGAATCAATGCCTGGTGCAAGTGGTGCAGAAGTCAAAGGAGTGTGTACGGAAGCCGGTATGTACGCGTTGCGAGAACGTCGGGTTCACGTTACGCAAGAAGATTTTGAATTAGCAGTTGCTAAGGTAACTCATTTTTTAGCTAGGTCGCTCGTGCTTGATGTTTTCAATTGTCCATTTTGATTATTTTTATTCAAGAAGTAGTTTAGAAATATTTGAGAATTCAGAAGAAAGTAGAAACGCAAGTTAGTGGGCATAAAATATTGTACGTTTAATTTTACACCTATCACAATCCACTCTGTTTGGAAAGGGGAAGGGGATAAAATGTCTAAACGGTGTGTAATAGTTTTTCCTACTTTAGTTTAGCCACCGAAGTTATTAAACAAGAGTAATTCTTTACTTTACCAAGGAATGAATAAATTCGAAGCTTTGTTCACATCAGGCAGAGATAAACTATTTTAATCCAGTCAGTGAATAATATGTTTATAAAACCCATAATTTTCACAGATCTGGAATCAAAATGACTGGTAACACTTCAGTCCTTTCTTCGGGTTATCATCCTACTGTGAGGTGAATTGTGAATAAACTTTTGTAATCCTGGTTTTATTACTCAAGTTATACTCTTCGATCACTACTTATCGACCCAAAAGCTCCACTCAGTAAGTCGACATGACTCAAATAGGAGATTATTAACGTCATGAATTGGCGTTATTATTAAATATCCAAAGGAGAATTTTGGGTAGTTCATATCACATAGTCACCTTATGACTTTATAAACATCAAGTTTCTACGAGCTCCTTACAACTCGTTGAAGGACGTCGGTCTACTCCAGTCATTCGCGAGTTTGACCATAAACAAAGGTTGTTGCGTACTAAAATTGTGCAGAGCTTGAGTAAGGATCGAGAAGTCTGGTAGTTGGAGCCTACTGATGAGTTGGAAACAACAACTGCTTCCGGTAACTGCCGGAAGGTCTTTTAATTCATCCGAGACACTGGCAGGAAGAAGTCTGGTGTTAGTGAAACAATCTGTGAAGCTGATGGGATGGCAGACAATAACATCTGACTTGAACGAGGAGCGCTTGCACTGGTCTGCTCCCGTAGTGACATCGATCAGATTGTTTTACTCTCTATAGCCAGTGTCGACTAATCCACCTAACGAGGCGCGAGTATGCAAGGGACCTCAACTCTTGAAACATCACAAATCACCAGGTCCATATAACCTACCTCCATTCTTCTTAGAAATGGTGGGGACCTGGTTAAGGAACCGGCTGGACTGTGTACAAAGGTTTAACAGTTAGAGTGTTCCAACGTCGTGGAATGAGTTCATAGTTGTTCCAACTTTTAAAAAGGGTTCACATCGTTTCTGGAACAACTGTGGGAGGATAAGCCTATCTCCGATCGCGTCCAAACTATTGGCTTCTATCATACCTCGTAAATTGTTTGAAACCCGAGAAAGATTGACTCGCGAGGAGCTGTCTGGTTTCCATTTTAGACGAGGATGTGTTGATTTTTACTCTCCGCCAAATGTTAGAACACCATCATACTTATTGCAGAGCAATATTCGTAGTGTTTCTTAACATCAGGGCTGTCTTTGATTCGTTGGGCAGAATTTTCTATTAAAGACTGTGCCTGAGAAGATTGTCAACATTTCGCACTTAATCAGTTGGCAATCAGTGTCCGTGAGTATGACACATACTTTGAACCTTCTGAGTGCAATGTACCTTTACAAGACTGGTAGGAGCTCGTACCTAGACTCACACTTGGTGGTGAGCAGTTAAAAGTGGTCGGAAAATTTTTGTACCCGTGTGATTGCCGTTGGTGGCGTGAGTGATGATTTTAATTTACTTATGGTGATAACCAAAGCGACTTATATCATTCCGGGTCATTGGCGTTGTTGTGATGTTGGTCTAGCTGTAAAAGGTCGAGTTTACAACGCGTTGGTGAGAGCAATTACGCTCCATGCTTGTGAAACCTGGCCTCTTTGTGTTTGATCATCGTTGTCCTCGAAGAATTGCTGACATCCAGTGGCGAAATCATGTTAGTAATGCAGAGGTTAGACATCGTGTGTTCGGGCACAACGACGATAGTTCAATTAGCTTCATTTTCTGAGAACACCGATTTTGGTTGTTTTGGCATGTATTACGAATATCATCCCACATCGTGCATTATTTGCCGACGCTGGGACTGGTTGGAAAAAGCGGAGAGGTGGTCAGTGTATGATATGGTGTTGTGGTATTAAGGAAGCCTGTATAAGATTGGCTTCTATTGGTCCTTCACGACTCCCTGGTTGGGGTTCTAGTGAAAGTGCAACACAGTGGCTCGTGACGTTACCAGGTATGGCTCCCAAATGTCCTGGTACGGCCGAGGGTGGGGAGTCAGCTCTCTCTCGAAATGCTCTCATATGGCCACTGCTAGAGAAGTTCTACTTCATTGCCTTATCCCGGCAGGGGTGTTGTTTACGATTTCGAAAGGACGAAAAGTGAATGTCCGGCGCTTTAACCGGGTTGGTGGACACGGAAAGTCCACCTAGGGGAGTCGGGAAACCTTGATTCCAAACCAATGGTGCACATGGGCTCTGGGATTCTGAGGGAACAAATGGCGTACGAACCAATTATTGGTCACCGGCTCCCATGAGGCTGCATCTCCTGACGTTGCTTCACTGCCTTGTGGATCAAACCTCGGGGTGTGGCCCCCTAAGAAAACCACCTGTTTCGATCTGGGAACCCGGGCAGTATCATAGCCCTCCGACAAATTGGTTGATTTATTTGGCGCATATGTATTCGGTGCCCCTTGGTACCGACATTTGTGTTCAAATAAACAAATGAAATATATATGGCTCAGAATACAAGCCAGTGGTGATCCTGCTTTAACTTTCATTTACTTCATGTAAGTGAAAGTAACTTCTTTAACTGGAAGAATCCTTTATGATTGTATTTTTCTTAGATGAACTGCTCCTCCAATTATTATTATTATTATTATTATTATTATTATTATTATTACTATTATCATTAATTTTTGTCCTTTTATATTATACTCACTCCACTTTCCCTACCTCTTCACAACCTAACTTTTATTGTATGGTGCATTTATATTTTGATTCATCTTTGTACCAATATTTGTGTTTAAATTAGTAATTGTAAATTTAACCAACATGATTGACATATTAGCTTAAAAAACAAATAAAAAGAAGAAAGTTGCTTTGTATATGAAAAAGGACTAAAAGTGAATTCATCTTTGCTATGTTGAATTCTGATAATATGATTTTATTTCTGTGGTCACTGGTTTGTAATTATATCCAAAAAGAAACCTTACGTTTTCTCTGTCTCAAATTGGTTTATCATAAAACTCCTAACCATTTAAAATCCTATTCAATATATGTGGCATCTCGAAATGTACGTACCTACTTAAACTCCTAAATTCATCAGATTAGAGCGTTGTTAACTCATCACTTCGTGACTTTTACATAATTTGTAATATCTACCATTACGTATTAGTTTCTAATCTTCGAGGTCCACGTCTTACCCTTACTGTTAAGCAAAGTAAACTACTACGTAAACTCAGTTGGTAACAGACACTCAAATGTACTACCTGCATCATGAATAAAGAAATCAGAAGAGTAATATTTTCAGTGCCCAATCATTTTAAATAAACAGAGTGCGATAATTCTTAATAGAGAGTTTGTAGATTAGGGATCCATGTCAAAAATACCTAAAAATTGTGATCTCTGGTGCTCAAATCGTTGGGCGCTCTGAATCAATTAGGGTATTTTGAATTAATAGATGAACTAGTGGTAGTTGAGAAATTGAAAGAAATCTCTAGAATAAGTTGGTTGATAATAAAAATCGTTGGTACGACAGAAAAACACCATACTTCACGTTGCAATAAATATCTCGAACACAATATATGTTAACACAAAATCTGTAGGTCAGTAAAGTTCAGTGTTCCGTTCAGACTGGTTTCTATAAATGCCTTTGGTAATACTGTATAAGTGAAGATGTATTTTCCTAATGGCAATGACCAATTAGTGAAGAAAACCAATAAGGACTACCGCTTTGACTGCTTTCAGGGTCTTTGGTAATGTTCACATGGGACTATCAGTTTAAATTGTTTGAAGTACCACTTGAGTTATGTGAGTTAGGCATAAACTTTCTAGCATTAAATCTTGCTGATTTGTATGAACGCGTAGAACTTTGACTAAAACCACGGCGAAACTGAATTCTATGGCTTCACAATCAATCAATTTGTAAATGTTTGACTTAATTTAACTGGTGTGGGATCCGCTCATGATTCCCAGTGATACTGTTATTTCTTTGTAAGACGTTGTCAATTCGTATTAATTTATTTTTCAAATAAAATTTTATCTCCAAATATTTTTCTAAATCTCCATTTTATTGTAATTTTTTGTTTAACTTTATGCTCATTTGTAGGTGATGCAGAAAGATTCTGAGAAAAATGTATCTATCAAGAAACTGTGGAAATAAGGCTTTAAAATTATTTATTTTATATGACTAAACAGTACCATTTTCTTTTGTAAAAACCTTACTGGTATATTCTGTTTTCATTCTTTGTCTACTTGTTCACAGAAAAATGAACACATTTTTTCCAGTTATTTAAATCGCTTCCATAGACTGCTTTATTTTTAGTAACTAGGGTTTTGTTCTAATTATGTAAATTGTAGGTAATTAACACTCATACGTTTTTATTTTATTGTTACGCAATTATCCGTGTAGGTTTATTCTATCACTCGTGTGTCATAAACAAAAATTCCTAGGTGCAACTTGGTAATTTAGTGCTTGAGACCTAAAAATATCATACTACCCAAAGTAAACCTGGGTTCAAATATGCAGTTCATTGATTTAGTTTCGTATTTTTAGTCCTGAACTTTTGCTGCATAAATTTAACAGTAAGGCTCAGTCATTCAAAAAAACGTATAGCACACATATTTCATACCATATCAGCACTGTGAAATCCCATCGTCTAGACAAATTCGAGAGAAGTAAAAATAAGAATATCAGCAGAACACACTAAATGTGAGTAGTATGCTTTTCGAAAGAATGAATTTGCATATATGTGCCTGGTCCTGATTGACTGACAGAACGAATTTGCAAAATAAATAAAAGTATAAGTTGACTTTAAAATCCATGATCTAATGGAAGTGTTTGCTTTGACTGGTTGTGATCCATGTCACCGAGCGTCTTATTACGACAAATTGCAAAAATCGAGCAGAATCCAATCAGATAGTCTTAGTTCACAAACACAGCTCAGTCACTGACGTTATGAACTGATACCATGTTTTGGTTTGGTTGTATCTAGCTTTGCAACTCACCCCCACACCGTCATTGTCGCCTGTCGAAGTAGGTGGTAGTGGAAAATACTGCAGTTATGATGTGGGTTATTTACATCCATATAAGTAGTATATAACGATGGTCAGACATAGAATGTATTTCAGCAGAAGGTCGATAAGGAACGGAACGCAATTGGTATGAAAATGCATAGACAATGGACTGATATTCGCAAAGGAACAGTCAAATTGGGGACGATGTATTGATATTTTGCAACTTAACTATTTATTACATGGTTCTCAAATTTTGTTGTAATTTCGTGTCAAATGCATTTGATTATCCCCACTCATGTTCTTGTTCACTACACAGTTAATAAAGTAGAAGTACTTCGTGAAGTGGTTTATTACCCCTGTGTCTAGATTCAGCAGTGCTCCGAAGGTATACTTTACCATATATTAGTAACCTACCAATACTTTTCTCTTAAGGGTAACGTTCCATAGCTATAATGTAGAAGAGGACGAACTGACCGTGCAGTATGCTTGTATTTCTGACAGTGATGGACATTTTGGTTACTTTATAGGCACTGACTCAGACCATATCTAAGACAGGATTTTGCAAACCAGAAACTTGAAATACTACATTTTACCAGCGTTTTCACCAAACAGAATTATACGTATCCTAAGTACATCTAATATATTTGTTCACAACTAGTCAGAGGACGTTATTCTCAAAAGGATATCAAAAGTGAGCAACTTTCACTCATTACTTGATGTCAATTCTGATGAAGGTTGATCGCAGGCTCTGATTCGGTCAGTAGTGATTTGGCAGAGTTTTCTTTAGAACGGTCCTCAGTGGGAAACTTATAAAACCTGTCGGTCAATCAACATAGTAAGAGTAAATCTTGGTTTCTGGACAGTATTTTCTGAGTAACGAAGGTTTGAGACGACAATACTTGTTCTGAATTCCTTGGCATTAAATCTGATTGATCATAGACGAATTATTTTGCGGGGATTTGGACGTCTTTTGTTCCCTATACAACCCGCAATATGTAGACGCTACTAGAAGTTAACATGTAGTCGTTTCCATTAATGGACAGTCCGTTATCTGCAGTAGGAATTATATACTTTCATTGTGTTCACGTTTGTCTTCATCCTTGTTTTAGATGTTTGGCCAATTACGAGTCATTACATATGGTTGTTTCTCCTGTTGTTGAAGCCACAAATTAACGTAGTTATGCATTGTTTTTTATCATTACGTTTGCGCTTCCGCAAGTTAATACAATAATCATGTCTCCCTCATGAAGCAATCCTGTTAGACAGTCCCATTGGGGATTTACCTAAGTATCAATTAAAGTCGACAAGCATGGCATGTAAGGTTGGATTCAGAGATCTTTAAGGATAATAGGGATTTTAGCAGTTAGTCTAACAGTAATATTAGCTAGTTTGGAAACTGAACGTAATCTTACATAACTGGTCTCAATTATCCTTGTCTATATGAACTAAAATCCTCATGAGAACAGAAGAGTCGGTTTGGCTAATGTAGTATCCAAAACGCCAGTTTCAATAACCATCTGACCAGGAGAGTTGGGAAAACTAGGTAGGTTTTGGTCCAAGGCGTGAATGTACTGATCAATTCCTTAGCTTTATCCAGGTATTAAGAAATCAACATACGTACTGACACCCGGCTATAGCACTATTTTGTGACTTCTAGGGTGTCATTCAACTCAATTGTCAAAAAAGTCTTTTAAACACCTTAAGTAACAAAAGAACCATGTTAGGGATGCGTTTTCCCCTTCTAAATGCAAAATGTTGCTATAGGATTTGTCTTTATCAATTACCGGGAGTGAACTAGTTGACCACCCTTCACTTACCATGGAAATCTCATAAGTTATCGTGGACTGAAGGAATCTCGTCTGGTTTTTCACCAACTTGGAGTAGATAAAATGTCAATCCGCTAAGCAAAGGGGAAGCATACAGCGCGAAATTCTTCTGTGTTCCTCGACTAAACGAAAAATGGTCTATGAAATTAGAAGTGGTGTGTAGAGCGCAGGCTCTTAGTTGTTGGTCTTTAAATCATGGTTGAGACATCGTTGGACCATCGAATAATGCCGAGGCTAGCACATAAGGCCGAGATGGGAATTCTTATGGAACTGTAAATTCTAAACGATTGATGAGGATAATATATGCTAAATTTCCCAGACTACTGCCTACCACATTCTCAATGTTGGCTGAAGTAGGAGCATATCATGGAAACTAGGCGGTGGGGGGGCCGAATTAAGACGTGGGATCAGTTAGCGAAGTGATTAGTGGACAGTCACACCAGTAAATGCATATCACTTTGCTGTGGCCCACGCGAAAGAGTCGATGTCAGGTAAAATGACTAGAACATAGTTAATAATGCATAAAGTTCGGAGCTTTAACGTGATTTCTTCACATACTTATTTAGTGTTTTAAAGAACAGTGATACATTCTCATGCTAGAATTCACTGGGATACCGATCACCTACTTACCACACACAGACATTTCATAAGCTATCTTAACTGGGAGCGAAAAATACAACTGCAAAGAACTTGGTCTTCACCACTCATCCTAATTTGTCAAAAATGCTTCCGTGATAATTACGGAGAAAGTAAATGGACAAATACATGGCCCCTGAGATCTGTGATTATTGGACACCTGGGTCGTCTAGAACTTAGAACCTAGTGTGTATGTACATCGGTTCAAGTTGCCATAGCTCATCAGCAAAGAGACGAAACTGGAACAGTATCAGTGGCAATAAGAAAAGTTAGGCACCGAAAACAAGATTCGAAACTGGTGGGACAAAAATGCAACGAGGAAATCAGGATTTAGGGAAGGCAAAGAATGGACGCACCCGAGTCATTGCTAAACGATCTTGAGCCATGCCAGTCTATAACTACTGTTTATGGTAATCACGCGGACCCCAACCATGTAGTCTACATCTGTCAACATGGTCAAGTCTAGTTATCAATGACCTCATAGACACCTAATCGGATACCATCGACTTCGAACAAACTAAAAGTGTAAAGCGAATGCATGGTCAACCTTATTCTGGGCTAATAAGACATAGCAATTGGTACCTTACCACTTCCGTCTTGGTTTACCCGAAGGTAGCGTTCGACTTTGATACACCTCCTAGTGGCGGAATGATGCTAGAATACTCTACATCCCCTGAGTCTATTTTTTCGAGCATAAAGTATTCTCATATTCAGCCTAGACTTCATAGGTAATGCTTTTTGTTCTGTTTATCTAACAACTGGTTTTACGTAATTAGTATTTCATCGACTAGTAATTCATAGACAATGTACCCTTCTATATTGAAAAAAACAACTATTCAGAACCCCTGAAGTGAGATAAAATATCATCACCGCATAGTATGTTTATAGGAAGTGTGATAAAGCCTTGACATTAATGATATGAGTCTAATTAATCAGTCAAAACACCAGATTACTTTCTTATTAACATAAGTCGCAATCAGCATTCCACTATAAAGTGAACATATAGTTCTAATCTTACCTTGACTTAAAAACACGATTGCAAATTTCCTAAAATATATCGCCTCGTAATGTTGTATGTGGTCGGACCACAGAGTAGGCAATACTAACGCTGCTATGGTTTTTCATTCATCAATGCTCTTCTTGGTCTGTATTCCCTAGAATTTGAAAGGGAGTAAAATTTAGTGCACATATCACAGTATTCAATAACGCGCTTCACATCTAAAAGTATGAATCCACTAGCAGTCCAACGCTTAGAAAATCATTGAGTCAAATGATCCAAACTTCAATATGTATAAAGAAAAGCTAGACAAAAGTGATTAAATAATATAATATCAAGAATTAGGAGATCTATCATTACATAATACTCATGATAAAATAAACATAAAACTCTTCATTTATAAAATCTTCCTGAATATAGTTACAATTAGAAAGCACATTGACAAAAATAAATTTTGACAAGTTAGGTTATATTATCCTTGGCAGCTTAAGCACCCTTCGGGATTGTTCAGACTACAAGCAATAGCGTCCACATTCCGTTTCTGTATTTCCTCCATTATTCGAAGTTCTTCTATAGCTTCAACAGTTTGATCAATTGAATCATTATTTTGAGGTTCATTTGTTTTTGTTGTAGAATCAGTAAGCACTCGCAGAATAGTTTTGTCTACACTGAACTTGATAGGATCAGCAGCAGGTCGTGTTCGCAGATAGTACATACCTGTTTTCAGACCCTGGAAGGATAATACATTGTCTAATAGTTAAAAAATCTGTGTTGAACAAATGAATAAAAAAACTGTACGCTACTTCAAGTTATTGCATTAAATAGCAAGCATATTATTGATCGGAAACAAAATTATGAGGGAATTATATAACGTACCTTTCTCCAAGCATAGAAATGCATACTTGTTATTTTTCCATAGTTCGGTTGGGCGAGATGTAAGTTAAGAGACTGGCTCTGGTCAATAAATGGGGCACGACCTGCAGCCATATCGATAATCTTCTTTTGCGAAATCTCCCATACTGTCTTGTACAAAGGTTTTAACTCCTTAGGAATTCCATCGATATGTTGAATAGAACCCTGATTCAAAACAATCGCTGTTTTAAGTTCGTCCGACCACAACCCTAATTTAGTAAGATCATCAAGAAGATATGGATTCACAATCTGGAATTCACCACTTAACACGCGGCGAGAAAATACATTGCTTGTGAAGGGTTCAGTAGACTCATTGTTCCCAAGAATCTGAGATGTTGATGCTGTTGGCATGGGGGCCAACAGGAGACTATTGCGCAAACCATACCTTAGGTAAAAGAAAAGATTTCCTACATTCGAAGGTGTGTGAATCATATTTCAATGTACAAGATAATAAAATAAAGTCATCATAAGCGCGCCAGCTTACCCATATTTTGAATCTAATAGGAGTGGATTATCAGTACCGAATAATGACACGAGATGTGATATGAACAGTGAAATAGCAGGTGTTAATCAAATATGTGAACTTCTAAGACGAAACTACTACTTTTAGTACTCATACACCATTATTAATGTAAAATCCACTTAACGTCTCTTACTTAATGGTATTTCGTACATTTTGTTACTAGTCACTTCAAAACAGAAAACTATCCAGCACACAATCCACATGCTTTTGTTGCATTTTGCTTACTTTTAAAAGCGATATATGAAACATGTGAATTGTTACGTTTAACAGTCCTCACTTTTTCCCTTAGCAATCTGAGCTAGAAAACCAATGAAATTTCTACACAAAACGAAATGAAATGTTCAAATCTGGAGGTTAAACGCCACTTATCGGTCAAGTGTCTAACAAGTTCAAAACAAACTTCACATCGGTCAAACTGACCATTTTAAATCAGACTGAATAGTCTTACTAATCGTATT